AGGCAGTTTCGGGAGGAGCGGATGTGATATTCGTGTTCAGGAGGTCGAATTACCCCTAGAACCCAACTTTCAGCCAAATCCGCCCCCGTAGAAAAAAGTCGATCAAGATCCGGCCTGTTTTCGGAAAACTGGGGTAGTAATAGTTGAACAGTGCAGAAGAATGTTATCGATTGGGGACCAGGTAAAAAAATTTTGTAGAAGGATGGCTAGATACGTAACTAGTAAAACCATATAATTTTTGGAATGTTAAGTAGTGCATTTTATTTATTTCGTTGTAAATCTGGTGCCAGTATAAAGAAATTTCCTTCTCTAACACTCAACCTTGTGAATTGTCGTCGTCAGTATCTCGTTTCGTTGAGCAGCCAGTGAGAGGTCAGCAGTCAGCGCAGCAATTAAGTGAGGTCATGCCGCAGGCAGGCCTCGGGATATGCGCTAGGTGGTGGCTACAGCTTACCGTATGCTACTCCAACTAAAGTCCGCCACCCTCACTTCAAAACAGATCTCTCCCCTCCATTATTTTTTCATAGTTTGTACTAGGATTGGGTACATCTCTTGATTGATGACACTCTGCTCCACTCACGCTGCGTTCATACTTGGGGTCAGCGTACGCCAGCGTTCTGAGTGTACGCCAGCGTCAGCGACTGTGAAAGTATAAGTAATGATCTAGCATACGCCAGTGTTCACCAGGGGTGGAGAGTATAGGGAAGTAGGAGGGTAGCAGGCGGCTTCGCTGCATAAGGTTTCGCGAAACTACGGCGTGTGCAACTGCCCCGCATAACTAAGGCACAGAATAATGCAATTCTGATCTTCATTCCTGGCGTACGCTAGATTGATACCTATGCTTTCTTAGTCTCTGGCGCTGGCGTACGCTGACGCAACATATGAACGCAGCTTCACATTTCGTTATGTATCTATCGTTCTGTCGACTAGTGGCTTTGTTCCTTCTTTTCTACTGTCTTTCTACAACGCCCAGTTTTCTTGTTTACCACGCTGTTATTAATTCTCCTTATTCTGTCTTTCATATCTATTTGTTCTTCTCGTCCTCTCTCCTTCGTCTAATCATGTTAAAATATCTAATAATAATAATATTGATTACGCAGTACTCATTCTACACAATAGTAAGCGACTTACTTAGAGGCCAGCCATTCGCTTGATTTTCACGTTTCGCCTTGCGATGGCGCTTACAGCGTAGAAGAGACAAAAGTGTTAGTTGATTGCTCCCAATTCAGTCAGTCACGGAGCCGCACACGCAGCCGTGATAGGAGGAGAAGGGAGAGGAGCAGCGATGACAAGATCGAGAAGATCTCGACGAGATGATAGGGATGACAGACAAGAGCGGAGATCGCAAAAGGCGCTCACGGAGCCGAAATAGGTACAATTGCCTTCCCTGTTAGGGTGCGTTCATACTATTCGTCAGCGTACGCCGGCCTACGGCAGCGTTTCCAGCGTACGCCAGCGACTGGGAAACTATAGATATCATTCAGCGTACGTCAGCATCTGCCAGCTTATGCCAGCGTACACCAGCGCTTTCGCGAGCATTTGCTCGAACTCAATTTGTCCACGAAAACGGTGGCGTACGCTCGGTTTATCTATAGCTTCCTAGCCGCTGGCGCTGGCATACGATCAAAACGCTGCTGGACGCTGCATTCGACGGCGCACGCCGACGTACGCAAAATATGAACGCAGCCTTTCTATTAATTTCACCTTAAATTGTTACTTATTTTTTCAGGAGAGAAAGTGATGAAGAATCAGCGCGAGATAAACGTGCACGTCGTGAGAAAAACGATGAAAAGGCTGTAGAAGAAGAGAAAGCTGCAGAACCGGAAAAACCTAAAAAAGAGCCGCTGGACCTGTTGAGGACAAGGACTGGTGGTGCCTATATTCCTCCAGCTAAACTGCGAATGATGCAGGATCAGATTAAGGATAAGGTATCGTCCATTCTATGGAGATTAGCTTATAAATGGATAGGTACTTATTTGCTTATTTTAGAGCAGTGAACAATATCAACGGATGAACTGGG